TTTGGAAAATAGCTTGACTCCCTCTTCTTTGTGGCAGTCCCTGAGATATTGGAACACTGTTATCATGTCTCCCCTCGTCCTTCTCTTCATTAAATTAGACATACCCAATTCCAGCAGCCGTTCCTTATATGCTTTAGTCTCCAGTCCCCTAATCATCTTTGTTGCTCTTCTCTGTACTCTTTCTAGAGTCTCAGCATCTTTTTTATATCCTGGTGATCAAAACTGGATGCAGTATTCCTAGTGTGGCCTTACCAAGGCATTGTAAAGTGGTAACGTGGTAGTGTTCACATATGATTCAGGTGATTGGAGGTAAAGGCTTCTGATGGAACTGCTTATAGGAAAAGCAAAAAAGCCCTTTCTCAAAGCATCTTTCCAGTTACCTCTTGAAATTAGGACTGTGCAGTATTTTGGATCATGGTAAAAGGTTGTACAGTACTTTGTGTGGGAGGCATGACACCTGTCTGGAAATCGTTAGCAGAGGTGTCTTTGCCTGGAATTGTATGTCTGTCCTCTGCAAGAACAGCACAATTCTATAATGAGGATTTTATAAAGTTCTTACATGTGCATACACACATACACAGGCAAAAGAGCTGTGTACTGCTTTAGAAATAATTTGGAAGAGGTGCTTCAGGTGCTTGCACAACTGCTTTGTGCAGCTGCCAGACATTTCAGGAGAAAATGTGGCTGCTTAAAGAGTTGTAGACCAGTGTTAGATTTGTCTTTTTGGAACAGATTCTGAAGCATTGCAGACAGACAGATAACTGGACAGACAGGCAGGTAGACAGGCAGGTAGGCTGTGGCTGGGAGGCCCTTTGCACAAGTTCGTCTGTTGCACCAGTTGTGACCCTACCTGGACCGGGAGGTTCTCCTTACAGTCACTCATGCCCTTGTCACCTCACGTCTGGACTACTGCAACGCGCTCTACATGGGGCTACCCTTGAAAAGTATTCGGAGACTACAGTTGGTCCAGAATGCAGCCGCACGAGTGATAGTGGGTGCTCCTCGATACACCCACGTTACACCTATCCTCCGTGAGCTGCACTGGTTGCCTATTGGTCTCTGGGTCCAATTCTAAGGTGTTGGTTATTACCTTTAAAGCACTATATAGCTCAGGGCCAGGCTATTTGCGAGACCGCCTACTACCTCATAGTTCCCTTCGGCTGGTTAGATCCCACAGGCTGGGCCTCCTTCAGGTCCCGTCGGCCAAGCAGTGCCATTTGGTGGGGCCGCGGAGGAGGGCTTTCTCTGTGATGGCGCCCATGTCTTGGAACCAGCTCCCCCCGGAGATTAGGACCGCTCCCACCCTGTTGGTTTTCCATAAGCTGCTTAAGACCTGGCTTTTCCGGCAGGCCTGGGGTTTATAAAACCTGACCCCTGGATGACTGTAATTGTACTGTTTTGTTTGTCATGTTTTATGTTGTTTTTATTGTTAGCCGCCCAGAGTCCTACGGGAGTGGGGCGGTTTATAAATTTTAAAAATAAAATAAAATAAATTATGGATATCACTTATATAGATTTCTGATTTAGGATCAATACATTGGACAAATTGGGAGTTGCTTGGTAATAAAGTTATAGTTATATGACTTTTCATAATTTTCTTTTTCCAGAGAAATTTCAACAGTGAGATGGTGGAGTATAAATTTAATAAATAAATATCTGCTAATACAAACGTTATATTACAAAATATTACAAAAAGGAGTACTATGAATATTGAACCATTTCATAAGTCTACATTGCATAATTAATGTAAACAGAATTATCAGTGTTAATCATAAACACTTTTGGCTTTTAGAAAGTGGTGGATTTAAATCCTTCAAAAAAAAAATAGGGCTTTTATTGAATAAGTGAAATCATAAGTTTGTATAGAAGGAACAGGCATACCCATTGCATAATTTTTAATATACTGTGTTCAAAACTGTTTATGCTGAAAGGAGATTTTCTGATTTGATCAACCTTATGACCTAATGGAGAAAACACCCATTTTCCTTTTAGTAGGATTTAAAAATAATTTGTAAAAATGGAACACAGAGTTAGAAATACCAACTGCTGACAGCCTATAGTGACAATATCACTTACAATTATTGGTTGGTAAAATAGTTCTAGTGGATTTCAAAAAGTTGTCTCTGCCCTCTCTGTGTATGTAATATGTGGTTGCTATAATAGCAAGAAAGGTTCCAGTGTCTTTTTGACATTATTTACCATTCCAACAATTAAGGAATAGGAATTATTTATAATTCTTCATGAAGCCACCGGAAGTTTGAGATAAAATGTCAGGAATGTTAGATTGACTTCTCAGTTTTTTATATTTTGGCTTGCTTTTCTAAGCCTTTGCCAGAGGCTTCTGACAGAGAAAGATTAATGTGAATTAATTAAAACTTTGCCCTGATTACTATGGAATGCCTCAGTGCAACCCACTAGTGAGACTGTGTGGTGATTTGCAGTACAAGGGAGGCCTTTGTCCAGTTTTATCAAATACCACATTTTTATGAGCTGTTGCCAGAAAAGCACAGCGGGTGTGCTAGAAATAGTCTATTCCATGTAAGGAAATAGCCTCAATACAAGTAAAGCAACTGAGCGAAACAAGGACTTTCACTGAGGCTCTGGAAACATACTTTGTGCAGTATAAACTTCATCATTTTTTAAAAAACAAGGCCTAATTGTCAATTTCCAGCAAGAAAGAGAGTTATTTAGCTCCTGTTTAAAGAAAATAACGGGCTTTGCAGAACGTGGATTGGTGCTATTTATTTGAGCCTCAGTTTCTAATTGGGTGGGCTGCAGAAAAAAATGGAATGATTTGTGTGATGATGTAAAAACACCGTGCCTACTTGGTCACTAAGCAGCAGGGCTCCAATCAGCAGCCTCCTAAAATTTGTTTATTTGTTTATTTAATACTTATGTTGCCCAGGTCTCTTATAAGGCGATCCTAGACCATAATATAGGTATCTGAGTAGTGATAAGGGGATTTGGTAATGTTTTTATAAACATTTGCTTAGTTTTTGCTTGGTTATTTTTCCTTTGAATGTCTAAGCTAGGCAGTCAGACCTGGTTGTTTGTTTGGATGGGAAAGCAAAATTAAATTAAGGATCAGATGCACATTTGCTTTACTTTTTAGTGAGTAAATGTGCTTTCTGTAGTATTTATGGTACAAATGAGCAAATGATGGTCTGGAGGTCCATTTTGGTCACCTTGATGATTTTGATTAGGCTAGGTTCTATGCTTTCCAGGTGTTAATTTCTTTTCCCTTTGAGTATGTTTTAGAATGCTAGAGGAAAAAATAAAGAATAAATTCTTTTTATTGTCTCCCAGTTCTATAGGAAAAATGGCACTGTATTTTGTGGTGTAAGGTAAAATGTGTCCATAAAGCTTTCCAAAATCCCTTTATTTTTGAAATACATACAGAAAAATACCAACTTGACAAACTGCATAGCTGAAAGTCAGCATTTTTTCACCTTCATATTCTGGCAGTATGATCTAGTGATGTCCTGTTGTCTCACAAGGGATACTAGAGGGTAGGCCCCTCCACCCAATTATATTGAATTACAGTTGACAGTCTGTACTGAACATCTGCTTTTAACCTTAGGTATATGAAATTGCTGAATTTAGAACACAGTAGAGTTATTGAATATTTGAATATTCTAGAAATAGAATATTTCTGTTACGTCTATAAGAGAATTAGACCAGGGGTTCCCAACCAGGGGTGCGAGACGATATTCCAGGGGGTGCGAAAACTTGGGTTTTCAAAATTATAGTGTATATGCATAATTTGTTGCCGTTATTTTGAACTTTTGTAAGAGGGTGCGAGAATGTATCAGAAGCATTCTAGAGGTGCGGGGTATAGAAAAGGTTGGGAACCACTGAATTAGACGTAGATTTATTGGACAGTAAACATGGTTATGATGTGAAGATGTTAGGAGAGCCTTCCACTCCCATGAGGTAGAAGGCATGAACAAAAGTTTATGGAGGCTCATCTTTCACTATGAAAAACTATGGTGTATAAATTGCTACTATTGTATGCTGTGTTCTAGTTTTATATTTTTATTTCTTTCTTCCTATTAAACTGTTTTTTACAAAATACTTTGAATAAGCAAATAACTAATTATGAATCTAATGTTGATTAACTTATTTCATTGGTTGTTTATGATAGTCAGATTTCTTTGACAAATGTAATAAACATTGTTTAAGAAAGGATTATTAGTGGATTCAAAGGGATAAGTCATGTTGGAACTTTGTGGAGGATTGGTTCCTAACATATCGTAAGTTCACTCTGCCATAATGAGAAGAGGCATACCTGTTTGTTTGCAAAGAAAAAAAAACCATAAAAAAGCAAATTACTGTGAAATAGCAGTACCTTTGAACCATCTTTGAAATGCATAGGAGCCCTAAAGCAAAGTAGTTCCATTCCCACCCCCCCACTCCCCGGAATCTTTTTCAGAACTTGAGAACATAGACAAAACATAGAATTTTATTTTCAGAAAAGTTGCTGAAACAAAACAGCTGCATTCAGCTTCTCCTTTGAAAGACATCGATTTTAACATATGCAAGACAACAAAACAAGCAGAATGGTCCATTAGCAGAGGGATGGGTCAGTGATTCCTTGGTAGCATCTGTCTCCTTTGTCTCTTTTAAGGGAAGGGTGACACATGTTCTTGGTTGTTCTGGCACACAGGAAGGGGTATTTATGGGAATAATGTATACCAGTGGTCCCCAACCCCTGGGCTACAGCCCACTACAGGGCCTTGAGCCCTTCAGAACTGGGTCGCAGGCCACAGAGATAATGGGCAAGTGCAAATGGAGCTGTTCATGCATGCCTGCTGCTTGCGCAGAACCATCCCCTCTCTTCCTCCCCCCCACCCAGTCCGCAAATCCAGGAAGGTTGGGGAACTCCGATGTAGGTGATGCTGGGCATCTTTCTAAATAGACTTTTTCAGATCACAACAAAGAAGTAGTTTTTTATTTCCAAGTATTCTTTTTTATCTTTTCTTTCTTTTCTTTTTTCGAAGGTCCTGGAATTACGTCTGCAAACAAGGGAGAGACAGGAACTGCAGAATATTCTCCTCCGAGCCCAAGCCCATTGAAAAAAGGTGGCTCAATAAACTGGCCTTTCCCTGATAAAATAAAATCCCCAAGAACCGTCAGGAAACTTTCCATGAAGATGAAAAAATTGCCTGAACTCAGCAGGAAGCTCAGTATCAAAGTAAATTCAAGCCATAATAGCTCAGACAATTCTTTGTTGCTTAAAAATAATTGCCAGGAAGTAAGCCATGCACCGTTAGCTTCTTCTGGAAACGTAACAGCAGCTGCTAGCAGGAATGTCATAAGCCGGTATCATCTTGATAGCAGTGTATCCTCTCAACACAGCTATAAAAAGAAAAACAGGGGGACTTCCAAATCCTCCAGCAAAGGGGGCTACCTCAGTGATGGAGACTCTCCTGAGCTTATAGCAAAATCAGGGAAATATGCAGCTGAAAGGAAAGGAAAGGAAGTATTTGCAGGTAACATGGGTAATAAATCAGAAATAGACATTGACGCTTTTCGACACTACACTTTTGCTGACCAACCCAAATGTTCCCAGTACATATCTGGACTCATGAGCATTCATTTCTATGGTGCAGAGGATCTGAAACCACCAAGGATGGACTCAAAAGATGTCTTCTGTGCAATTCAGGTAGATTCAGTAAATAAAGCAAGGACCGCTTTGCTGACTTGCAGAACAACATTTTTGGACATGGATCACACTTTCAACATAGAGATAGAAAATGCTCAGCATTTAAAATTAGTCGTTTTTAGCTGGGAGCCCATGCCAAGGAAAAACCGGGTTTGCTGCCATGGTACGGTGGTCCTTCCTGCTCTTTTTCGTGTGACGAAGACTCATCAGTTGGCAGTAAAACTGGAGCCCAGAGGTCTTATCTATGTCAAGCTAACTCTTCTGGAACAGTGGGAGAATTCTTTTGGTGGAACAAATGGAGAACGAGAACCGATACTCTTTGGAATTGATGCTCGGAAAGTTGTTGAGAAGGAAAATGAAGGTTTGATGGTTCCTCTCTTGATGAAAAAGTGCATTACGGAGATTGAAAAAAGAGGTTGCCAGGTAAGGAAGTAAAGTTTTGCTCTGTCAATATTTCATTGTCATTGCACTATATACATTGTCGTTTAAATCCAAGGAATACAACATCCTATAGCCCTTCATCTTCTTCATTTGGATAGCTAGCCATCATTATGGTCTTCTTAACATTAGGGTACAAGATGAGATGAATAAAAAGAATCCTCTTTTGAGAAGCCTACAATCCTTTTGTGTTTGTCAAATTTTAGCTGACTGGCCTTTAGGGTTTTCAGACCTCTAGTGTAATGGTGGCATTTGTATTTATAAAGGCAGAAAAATCTCAAACAGGATGTAGGATTCAGAAATTGCAATTAAATAAAAACTGAGGGTAGAGGGTTTTTCTTGTAGGGTAACTTTATATGTTGCTTCTGTGGGAATTGTAGACACTGCCCTACACTATCGCTAGTATAACAGGACTGGTGCATCCTTCAGTCATAATAGGATTATTTACCTTCAGTTCAGGCAACCTATATCTGATTTTTCCCCATCTCAAAAGCTTAGAAATTATGAAGCCCATTAAAATGATTTCTTCCTGCCTTCCTGAAATTTGTGGGAAGCCAAATTATTTTAAAAAGTTGTCTAACATGACTATAGCAAATGTTCGGCATGAGCTGTAAGGAATTTATTTTTCAGTATAACAGGTAGCCTATCAGCCTTTAAAATCACAGTGTGAATGTTTGACAGGGTTAAGCAGACAGTCCAGAGCAGCCTTAGACATAAAGATACATGTAGAATATGTACATGCGGGTTAAAAACATAAGTGGGTAACAGAGTCCAGGAACACCCACAAACTCACCCCAGTATTCAGTAAATGGGTGTCACTGGAAATCTTTATTCACTGAGAGCAAGATTTCCTATTATGGGAAAGCTAAATGCCTTGTGTTTAAGCCTTTAGATCTCAGGTTATAAATGCAGCCCTGTGCTTTACCTTGTCCCTTAGCCCACAAGAATGTAGTGCTTTTAAAGATCATTAATCTAGAAATTTCCAAAAAGGGATTGAAAAAAATAGGAAAAGTCTAGCAAATATATTGTGGTTGAAGTTTTTGTGGTCTAGGTTCTAGGGAAAAACGTAATAAATGAGTTAATATTTAAAGTACTATAATACTCTTTGGTATTTAATGTTGATGACTAAAGCTTTTTTATGCTGCTTTAGTTTATATTATAAAACAATTGTTTATCCAACTTCTCCATTTGTTAGAGAAAATGTAATCCTGAATTTCAAGTAGCATGTAAACATTTAGCTCTGGTTTGGACTCTATAACTGTAACAGGATGTATTTAGATGAGAAATATTTTCTCATCTAATATTATATTCAGTATCTCACTCTCTTACATTGCATTGTACAGTAACAATGCTTCATCCTACAACTGAAATAACATTCATTTGTAATAATGATGCATCTAAAAGAGTGAGTGTTACACGTAGTTTCTACATGAGGTGCCGCAGTTATTAAACTTGTATTCCACCTTCCATTAAAAATGCTAAGACAATACATCTTTCTTGCTGTAACTTATTTTCCCTTTTTTGTTACCTTTAATGGAAGTGCCTTTTGAAAAAACTCTTAGAGATTAATTATATTTTTGCTAGGAAAGAAGCAATCTTTCATGGTATGATTTAGATTTTTGTTTTGTTTTGTTTTGTGCTGAAACTATGTTGGGCCATTCCTTGAGGCATATATACCGTATTCCTAATTAGAAGGGTTCCTAATCTGAAGAGCCTTTTAAATAAGTTTTACTGCTACCAAATTGTCAGCATATGATTTCTTGAGAGTTACATGATATTTGGCTATGTGGTGCAGAAAAAAAAATGCTTCTCTAAAAATAGACAAAATTTCTTTGTCCAAGCTGCAATAAATGCATATAATTAATTTATTATAAAAAAGACAATAATAACTGTCTTTTTTTTTCATTTTCTCCCCATAACAATAATAACCATGCCAAGTGTGCTGCATCAAGGGATAAAGACTGGGTTTGCATATTATGGTAACCAATGGTTTATTTAACCTTATTTAATTAGATATTTAACCTAAATATCTGGTTTTCCATAGCACTCTCATCTATAAATCTTACTTTACAGCTCACACTCAGTGCAGACAACCCTGTAAGAATAGGGAAGGGGCCACCCTCATTTCAGGATGCAAGCTTCTGTATTTCAGAATGAATGGCTATCCCTGAGAAAACTCCTCCAGCATCCTCTTCCGTGACTTCTTGAGGAAGAATTCTAATAGAGTAGGCAGGTAAAGTCTACTAGGTTAGACAGTGCTGAAGTTAAGGTGGACTTAAGCCATCAGGTTGATCATTAGGACTGAATGTAAAGTCACTCTGTAAGCGTACAAGCGTCTCCCCTGTCCTATTATACCACTGCATTCATTACAATTAAAATAGCTCTTTCCTCTCTTTTGCTTAGTGCAGTCAGTATACTTAATGCAACATGGATAATCTTGCTTTTTTTTTCTGATAGGCTTTATTTGATACAGGGTTCCCTTCTAGTCCTCTTAGGGTCTTTCATGGTCATCTTGGTACCTTGAGCCTATTTAAAATTGCATTTCTGTTGGATATTTGATTTGATTCGTTAAACTAAATGAGGCTGCTCTGGTAAGATTTATATTTTATTTCTAGGTTGTAGGGCTGTACCGTTTATGTGGGTCGGCAGCTGTGAAGAAAGAACTCCGAGAGGCATTTGAGAAGGATAGCAAAGCAGTTACTCTGTGTGAGGCTCAGTACCCAGATATAAATGTGATAACAGGTAACAAATTTGCTTTTTTTATAGAAGGATAAAGAAATGCTCAGAATGTCATTAGGGTTTTATTGTGCAGTGTATCGTACAAGTAAATATTAAAAGATGTTTTTAACAAATGATGTCCTAAAATTGATTCTTTTGAACTGACAACTGCCTACTATGGAAACCTTGTCACTAAACACAAGTTGAGGATATTTTTAACTTTGTAAAATCAATACTGTCAGTTTTGATCTAGATTCATTTTTGTTCTGGATTCTGGAATAATTTTGGCTCCAGATGAGTGCTGGCTGGAGAGTTCTGGAAGTTGAAGTCCACATGTCTTAAAGGTGCCAAGGTTGAGAAATGCTGTTCTAGATCAGTGTTTCTCAACCTTAACAATTTTAAGCCATGTGGACTTCAACTCCCAGAATTCCACAGCCAGCAGTGCTGGCTGTGGAATTCTGGGAGTTGAAGTCCACATGCCTTAAAATTGTCAAGGTTGAGAAACACTGTTCTAGATTCTAGTCAATAGATATGAATGGAACCTAAGCATAGAAAGTATGGAAACTGCTTTATGGTATTTACTGTCAGTATATTCACAGCTTAATAAAAAATGGTGTAACAATTACTATTTAATGGCTACCACATCTTGATATAAAGGCTAAATCAGCTGTAAGAATCTTATGAAACCCATTTTTAATGAAGAAAATGGGGATTTGTTCATATTTCAATGAAAGCAGAAATTCTAAAGGCGTGAATCAATGAGCCATCTGATTTCAGTTGCCAACCCCAGTATACTGATGGGAAACTTGTCTGAACATAGCGTGTCTACGATATATGCTGTTGATCCTGTCAAAGAATTTGGGCTGGCGGATCCAGGAGAAAAACCTTCTCTGCCGTGACCCCGGCCCTTTGGAGCATCTAGCACTCTGAGGTGACATTGATTTCCACCCTCCTGATTTTTTTTTTAATTATTTATTAGTTTTTTATGTTTGCAGTTCATAAGTGCTTAATAAACAACATGTTGTCTGGGTCTTAGTTTAATAATATATATTAAAACCCTAATCTCTACTCCGTTTTTCCAGCCACTGGTAAAATACATCCCATATTTGAAAGTATTCTGTATCTTCTTTTTCTTTAATCTTCAATGTAAGTCTATCCATTTCTGCACAATCTAGTATTTTCTTAAGTATGTCATCTTCAGATGGTGTTTCTTCATTTTTCCAATGCTGTGCAAAAACAATTCTTGCTGCTGTTAATACATGTACCATTATGCATCCATTTTCTTTCTTATATTTTCCTGAAATTATACCTAATAGAAATAGTTCCAGCTTAAAATCTACATTTTAATGCCACCCTCCTGATTTTCTACAAGAGCCTGGAGACCTGGCTCTACCAGTTGGCTTAGGGTCCCAATGGGCAAATTTCACACTGGAGGTGATTGATCAACTAATAGCAATTCCCACTTCACTCCCTATATATTCTCCTCTCTTCCTCTTCACCCTTAGTTATATTTTATTGCAATTTCAATGTGATTTTATGTATTTATGGTTTCAGTTTAATGTTGTAAGTCACCCAGAGTCACTTTGTGACAAGGTGGGTGGCAAGCAAATTTAATATATAATAATATACATATAATCTTTGCTTTTTTCACCCAAGGTTCTGATCTTGGATTGCTTAAAGCATAGTAGACAAAGCTATAGAGGAGAAAAGATGGTTTCTTTAGGGCTCCTGTTAGGTGCTGTGGCTGTTTCCTTCTCCCCAATTTTCTCTCCCCAGTTCTACAATGTCTGAGGGTGGTAGCTGAACATGTAGGTTTCTTCAATTTTCTTCTTGTAACAAGGAAATAAGCTTGCTCTAGTGAACAAATAAACCAGTGTATATTTTTTCCATTCTCTTCTTTTGAAACCAATGCAAGCTTTGTATAAAAGCAAATTATTTTTTTGGTCAAGAAGTTATTGGAGCTATGAATCTTTTAAGAACTTCTTTTACATCTGGCAATAAGGACATATCAGCTACACACGCACACTGAAAATGATACATGTTCATATTATCTACTGTCTTATAAATCAGAAGGGGAAAATGTAAATAATCATATTCCATATTATGCCCCAAATAGCTTCCCTGCCTTTTGCCATAGGTTTGCACAAGTCTTTCTTAAATATTTATTGTACTTGAGTCTGTGCAGTTGTACATTTGTTTCAAAAAAGTGTACATTCTTGGTTTCTTATGCAAGAAAGTTAATTATTTCTTTCATTTGAAATGTTTGGGCTGTGAGTAGCTTTGCTTATGCAACTCAAAAATATTCAAGAGATGTTAGAGCATTCATAGGTGTACAGAGATTCAAAAGGCTTTGGTGGTAGAAACATCTCAATAGGATTTTACCTCCAAAAAGTGAAGACTGAGTTTACATAGTACATAAATCAATAGTGTGTATATTTGCAGGCAAGAAACAAGTGGAGGATCTGCACCATTTTGTTACATTCTAAAGCAGGGATATCAAACTGCCAACCTGCGGGCCGGATGCATCATAGCGAAACTACGTCCACCCCATTGCCAGCAATGGCAAAAAGTCGTGATACGTTGCTACATGTCACATGACATTGCGAGTTTGACATCCCTGTTCTAAAGTATCATCCCCAGTATAAATGATTAGAAATATCATTCTTGGGATACCATCTTGAATCATCTGCTAAATTTTCTTGGTGTTTTTACATTGTCGCACAGTTGAATAAAATGTTCACAACTTCCTTTTTAAGTAAAATTTCTGTTTTACTCTTCTTGGAGGATGTGAAGGTCTCCAGAGTGGAATTTCCTGTGGGGATGGACAGTTTCAAGCAACATTGTTTGAATTACAGCTATTTTGGAATTAGAAAGTCTCTTGTCATTTTGCCTCTTTTCTTTTGAATGGTCGCAGCTGCTTTTATTTATATGCACGGACTCTGAATTATAGTGTTCCCCATAAAGAGTTTTGCTGTCTTAGAACAAGCATCCATCCTTAGAACTAGTATCCTGTTTTCATCGGAGACCAGCCAATTGTTGTGGGAAGTCTGCACACAGCACTTCTGAGGAACAGACCACACTTCTTGCATGTCCTTAGCCTCTGTTATTCACCTCTGAACATGTCAGAGTTACATAACAGAGTTGTTAGACATGTTGATAACAACTTTTGATATATAAGCCTTTAAAGAAAAAGTCTTGTAATCTAATGGTTGTATTATAATCTGTGAGGTTATATGCAATTATTTTTGTGCTTTAAAACTACAACATTAAAACCCTTGGCCCAATCCAGTGATATCAAAAAGTCCCTGCAGTCCTCAGAAGTCAATAGTCAGTGGAGATGGTCTCCTCTCCCTAGAGCAAAATAGAATTTTGTAGTTAAGAATGGTAAAAATAGCACATATTTTCTGCCTGCCACATATATTCAAGTGCTTGAATGTTTAATATGACACTACTGAATTGTTAATCTTGTCTTGCAAATCTTCAAAGCCCTTACTTATGATTTATTTGGGGCATGTAGCAATGCAGGGATAGTTTTATGTCTTATAGTAGCCAGAATAGAAACTGGAATCAGCTGCTGAGTTTCATGTCCTAAAAATCCCAGCTTTCAAGTTTAAAAAGATACCTCTCAGTCATCATTAATCTTAGTTTACCAAACAGCACCTGTTGAAAGTTCAGTAACTGGAAGGAGTTGATTTGATTATTTATTTCTCATAGCAAGTGAAATTCTGCTCTTTGGTGAGAATGCCAAGCAATCAGACTTTTCTCAACTTCAAGGCTGCAGAGATTCCCCCCCCCCCACAGTTCCCATCATTTCTTACCATCAGACCTGAAAAAAAGGATATTGATTGTTCAGCAGCTGCTTGGCTAATGTAGAAGGGTACTTCTGCCTTAGGGGGCAAACTTGATAAATTCCTCATCCCACTTATTCTGCTTTGGATCATTAGAAATGAAATTTATTTGAGTTCTGTGGTGGGTAGCAGAACTGTAGCTGCTATTGCTCATATGGGGCTCTCTGTTTCCAGTCAGAAAAGCTCATTACAGCTATTAGTTTGATTGAAATCCCTCAACTCCCAGCTGTTCTACGGCAAAAAACCTCAACTTCCTTTGTCTACTCATGAGGAGCAGCTGTTCTGAATTTTAGTGGGTGATCTCACAATCTCTCCCTTATCCGGATAGACCGAGTCAGCCAGAATTCACCTCTGGCTTTCAGTCTCCACTGCAATGCCATCCCTGCTCTTTCAGGGATGTCTAGTTTATTATGAATCCTCAATAGGGAGAAGATTGCAGGTGACATCAAATTATGAATTCTGTTCTTAGAATATGGATGAGTAAAAGGGAGGAAAATATCTCTGCTGAGCTAATTAAAATGAGCACTTCTGTGGAATGGATTTACATTTGTAAAGATTAGGCTGGAGCATAGTATTTTATATATATATATGTTTTCTGAGGTTTTCGCGGGTGTTTATATGTAGGTCTAGGAGCTCCTAGAAGCACGAAGCCGAAAACACCAGCCTGAAGATGATGAATGAGACTTCGTCGAAATGTCGCCAAGACACTTCCAATTTGACGCGGGAGAAAACTCGAATAACCAAAGACCTACACACACACACACACACACATACGTGTGTGTGTGTGTGTGTGTGTCTGCTGTCCTTAGGAGGGTTTTGAATTAGATCAAGGAGTGGCTTCTGGATATTGAGGAAGGTCTTTCAAAGGGCACTTTGTTGAAAGAGAAGCACTTGTTAAGAAATTTGTGCATCCCTAATAAAGTAGTAAGCATTGTTCTTGATACTAGTAATTTGCCAATCTTCAGAATTCCTCTTCAGTGAAAAACCACTTTGCATTTTCCTCTTTTGAAGAACTATTCTGTTGGCCAGGAAATGCACATTTAATTATTAAACCTTGACTCAGAAATGTTTCTGTGGCTGGCACTGGGCTTACAGTGAAATGCACATGTCATTCAGAATATTGTGCCTTAGCAAATTTAGCAGCTGGCTGATTTTGATATTTCTGCCTCATGTCTGTTTCCAGCCATGTGAACTCTCTTGTAGTAAATCACACCACATAGTTGACAGTTCAGTGGGTTAGAAAAATGAGAAATTAATGAGGTGGACTGGAGAAGTATGCATTTTCTCTCCTTACTGCCTATATTCTGTGCCAGCGATGGTTGGAACAAGAAAAATAAAGCTGTCAGGAGATGCTAGTCCATAAAAATAACTGCCTTCTCTTAAAAGTCTCTAAAAGGAGAGAGTGTAGGGTCAGAGGGCTGATAATTTCTTTGGAGAAGAATGAAGCAAGAGAAAGTGTTTTGAAAAGGAAAGACCAGGTGACTTGATTGCAGAGCTCAGTGTGAATCCTTTAAAAAAACATTCCAAAAGTGCCTTCCCATTGATGAGCACTTTTAAAAAGGCATAGCGGACTCCTTTCCCTCTACTTAGGTATTTTGTGCTGTCTGTAGAGCAGTTGTTTTTTTGTTTTTTTGCTAGAAAGATAGTAGAACTCTTTTGTGATTAGTTCCCCTACTCCTAAACTTCAATATATCCCGCCCCAGAAATGTTATTTACAAGCATTTGATCCTGCTGTTGATTTAAGCCTTTCCTAAACTGGGATTATCTAAAGCAGAGATGTCCAGCTTTGGCAACTTTAAGACTCGTAGACTTCAACTTCCACAATTCCCCAGCCAGCATTCTGGGAGTTCAAGTCCACAGGTCTTAAAAGTTGCCAAGGTTTGGACACTAGGTTTGATCTAAATTTTTGGATTATAGTATGTCTGGAGATTATAGGAAGGTTAGTTGAAGCTACCTGCTCAGCATCAGGTTGAGGAAAGGTTGTAAAAGGCGAAAGATTTATACGATCTGAAGAGAAACCAGAGTAACGATGATAATTTGGTGTAAATATTTTGGGCACAATATTGATTTGGATATTTGGCAAAGTTTATGGGGGGAAAAAAATCTAAAAATTACTCTAGCAACCTCCTATAAGGAAAACCTCTATAAGATGTTTTATAGGTTGCACCTCCCTCCCATAAGATTAGCACGAATGAACAAGGGGAAATCCTCGATATGCTGGAAGTGTGAAGAGACCGTTGGGAATTACTACCACATGTGGTGGCAATGCCCAAAGGCACAAAAATTTTGGAACTTATTAAAGAAGTGGTTGGAAGAAATTTTGCAAATAGATATAGAAGCCAAACCGGAATTTTTCCTGTTGGGAATTATAGAAAGAAAATGTAAGAAAGGTTGAGGAAAGGTTGGTTTAGATTGCTAATTTGTGGATAAACTTTACTTGAAACATTTAGACAAAAAACAGCCCTTTAACCTGGAAGATCCTGAGGGTGGCACTGAAATTGTGTAGTCCCAGAAACTTTCTGAATTCCCCTCTATGAAGAGTAGAAATGGAGGCCCTTACTTTACTCTTAAAAATTCTGTTCTCTTAACAAAGTCTTCAGTTAACACAGTTCACATTACAGTTGGGTCATAGGGTAAGATCTGTGGTAGGCACACTGAGACTTGCAACAAGTTTTGCTTTGTTAAGAAAAATTCAGCAGTGGGTATTTCTGTCATGGTTTGGGGATTAACAAGGCCTTTATTTGGCAGATACTTAAATTGGTATCTCAGCTTCCTACTTTCAGCTCTTTGTTTTCATTGTGCATTAAACAGTACTATTAATTAAGGCACAGCTTACGTTCAGCGGCATGCTTACGTTCAGCGGCATGCACGAACAAAATGGGGAGCAAAGCAATTAATATCTGAGTTTAGATTTTAATAGTTTGGGAAAATGATGTATCTGTTTTTGGGGCCTTGATATTTTATAGCCCAAAATGTAGCGTGGGATTGGAGAGATTCCTGAAATAAACAGGATGTTGTAGTTTCAGCTGTACAAGCGTAGAGATTGTGTTGTTTTGCCTAAGATAGTGGTGGGCAATGTTGGAGAGGGTGAAGAGCTGCAAATAAGCTTTTCAGCCTTTTAAGTAAACATAGAATGCCATCTAGTCACAGGGAAGAAGCAATCAATTAATTCAATTTATTTTTATCAAAATCAGATTATATATTTTTAAAAAAGATAAAGGGAGACTTAACAATGTAAAAAGTAGCCTGAGGAGACCTCAAGGACCATATTGCTCATAGGACCTGAAAGCATTTACCTAGTGATGTTATCGTATCTTTCAAAACATTTGTGTAATAAAAGTGTTATTGTCTGATTAAAATAAAGTAAAATAACTTTTGCATTGTGATAGCCAAGAAGAAGTGAGACTGCTTCCACTGTCAGAATAAAAGGAAATGTTGGATTCAGTATTATTATTATTCCTATTCTAACTCTGATTTTTCTGAATTAAAAGGCTGTGATTGAATTCAGTTTTGAATTCTCCCCTAAGTCAATCATTTTTTTAAAAAAAAGAAAGAATAGACAATAGACAAAGAGATGGACCATTTTAAAAAAATCTAGCTTGGTATTTTTGTTTCCACCAAGAACTATTTTATAATGTTAAGAGAACAATCAAACTAATATGGTAAATTTTTCACTTGATAAGATCTATTCTGTAGTGTTTTGCCTTTGGAGGAGGGAGTTAGTTGTGGTGAATATGTATGTATGTGTTTACTCAATTGGTACAGCTGCCTATCTCAAATATGTAACTCAGATGGCTAGCAGTGTTTAAAAACAACACATAATAAATATAACATGCTGCAACTGAGATAAAAAAAACAATCAACCATAATGAACATAACCATGATATGGGTTCAGCTATGCCTCCTTTTATTTTCAGCTACTTTGCTGTTTTACTTTTTAGGAACTCTGCTATTTGGGCTTGAATGTCTTAGTGTAACATCTATTTATTTATCCAATTTATATAGCCATCCATTCTCATAAACATGTGACTTTGGGCAGTGTACAACAGAAATAAAACAAATACTTAAAACAATTACATAAATATAAGCCCACCTTCAGCTAAGGGTTAACACATGGCATTTGAGTCTCCTCCTCCAAAGAAAACTTAATTTAATGGACATTAGATTAAGTAAACCCAGTACATATGACCACTCCTCATATAGTTAATAATTTCAAACCTGTTTAATTAAAATTTGTAATTAGCTGTAACTGCTGGAAATGATGCCCATGAACTGAGAGGAACTGCGTCTGTTTCAGGAATTGTGGGTTATGCATTAGAATGGCCTGCACAATTTGTAGAGAAGACAGGGCCAGGCTGGTAAATTAAAAATAAAGGTGGGCCACAAAGGAGTAGCTGGGGCACTGATCAGCTGTTTGGCATCTAGCAGAGCACCGGAGCTGGCAATGTTGGTGAATGTAAGACATGGGTCTTCAAACTTGGCCATTTTATGATTTGTGGACTGAGGAATTCTGGGAGTTGAAGTTCACATGTCATAAAAGGGCCAAGTTTGAAGAGCCCTGGTGTAAGGGAACAATCAAAATAGCAGTGGCAGATCTTTACTGGGGCAGTGGTATTTGGCAGCAGTATATGTGTTGAGTTTTTTAAAAAATGCCACTGACCTGCATATGGCTGGAACTAGAGTGGATGGCGTGTGTGTGAAGGAAGTGGCGTTAAGACATTGCAACAGCTTTGTTAGCAGCTTTGTCCTGAATATCCAGTTCTGAAATTTGGTTTTAAATGAGATGAGACACAATGGAATTAACATATGTAAATAAGAATCAATAAAACATTTGCAACAGTTCTGAGCCGGGGCAGAACAACCTGTATTCACTTGTGGTTATGACTACTATGATACATTGTATTTAAAAATATTCTGATAAAATGTTAAGTGTATTAAAATAAGAAGTGATTTAATGCTATGACTACTATCCCCAATAAGAGCATTGTTAAATTAATCTTGGCATTTCCTTTAAGGAGCACACAGTGTATAAAGAGAATAAAAGAAACAAGAATTAACATTCAGAGTTGTAAATGATTTTCAGATTTGAGAATTAGCGTAATTTGATATATATGTATTTCCAAGATACCCAATTTTGAGATAATTTCTGCACGAGCACTACTGATTGTCCTGCTGTAATGTGACTTTCTGGTAAATTCATTACACTTTGTTTACTCTGCATGCCTTGTTTAGGTATCCTCAAAGATTATTTAAGGGAGTTGCCTTCTCCATTGATAACCAAGCAACTTTATGAAGCAGTGTTGGATGCCATGGTAAAAAGACCTTTGAAAATGACAGCAAATGGATGTGAAAATGATTTGAATGATTCAGAATATACAATGGCTCTCTTGGATTGCCTGCCAGAAGTTGAGAAAGTAAGTATTGTTGACCCATCAAACGTAGTACATGGCTTAAGGAATATAGATAGTCCTTGCCTTACCACCATTCATTTGGTGGCTGCTTGAAATTACAACAGCACTGAAAAAAGTGACTTATGAGCAGTGCTCACACTTAACAATTGTTGCAGCATCCTCATGATCATGTGATCAAAATTCAGGCGCTTGGCAACTGGCATGTCTTTATGACAGTTGCACAGTCTCTGGGTCATGTGATCACCATTTGTAACCTTCCCAGCCAGCTTCTGACAAGCAAAGTCAATGGGGGAAGCCAGATTTGCTTAAGGACTGCATGATTCGCTTAACAGCTGTGGCATAAAGGTCATAAAATGGGGCAAAACTCATTTAACAATTGCCTTGTTTAGCAACAGAAGTGCCGGGCTCATTTGTGGTCCTAAGTCAAGGACTACCTGTATCACTTCACTTTCTCCCTCCTTTCCCCCTCTTTCAGAATAAAACTTTGACTTGATTTTCATTGACTTCAGCTAAGTCGGCTCAGTGAATTAATTCACAAGATATTAGACCACATCAGGGATTCTCAACATGTGTGAAACCACGATCTCCTCAAGTAAATACATTTGTGTAGCCTCCCCCTCTTCCCAGTAATACTAACAATTTCATTATTTTTAATCATTAACATTTAATCTCTGTGTCAGATAAAAGGACAATAGCACCTTGCAACTTTATCAGTTTTTACTGAAATAATAAATGAATGACGTGTAAAGCCCTGTTTTTAACAGGAAAGATGAATTTCATTTCTGTTGCAAATCTGGACTTTGTTTTTGACAAAGCGACTCTCAGTTTGTATTCTACATTTATTTTGGATTGATTTTTGCTTTTTATAGCAGCTGCTGGAGAAAATGAGGATTACGCTGCCAGCTTGTTGACAGAGCCAATTCTGAGCTGGACTTGCATGCCTCTTGCTGGAGATTGTCAGAATCCGCTTTGATGTTGCTTGTACAAAGCAGCTGTTGGTTTGTCCAGGCAGAATCACCAGAAGTGATCCAGCTTTACACATGAAAGCCATTAGACCATATTCAATTTGCTCTATGCCCACTGGGCAGGTTGGCTGCCGGCTTGTCCAGGCAGAATAGGAGCAAGTTCTGGCAGTAACTCAGCTTTGCCATTAGGTTTGCAAAGTCACTTTGTTAAGAAGATTTGTTGGAATTATTCTATAATCAAGCCAGTCTATATCTTATAGCAGGATAGATCCAGCACAAAACGTGCATGCAGTTGCATTCAAAGAAGGACTACTTAAGCATTCCTTTAAAAAGATTCACCAGTCTGCCTAACCTTAATCCTTCCAAACCCTCAGTAAGTTGTTTAATTCCCTTCTCCCTAACAAGTATGAGGAAGTGATGTGAACAGTGATTTGGGAGCTTTCCCTTGCTGCTATTGTCTGATGCCAGCTAAAGGTAGACAGTTATATAACTATTCCTCTCCTTGAACTGTTTGCTGGTGCAACTTCCAGGGGAAAAAAATATGATAGAGATCAACACTAAAACATTGCCTGAAGCTACTCAAGGTTGATAATAGCAGATTGGCCAGCAGTGCACTAACACAGTTGTCCAATTATTGAGGCAAGTTGGATTTTGCTGGGAAATTAGAACAAGGGTTGTGAAATCCACAAAGATCTAGATGTCCATGATATGGTATAAAGCTAACTTGCCTTGTTTTATTTTTGGCTTTTGGAGACTGGGTTTTATAGCCCAAATCAGATAGCTTCAGGTGGAACAGCTTGTGAGCTGACTATCTAGGTAATATGTATGTGTAAAAAAGCAAGAAAATAAAGTTCTGTTTGAGAGATGAAGTGAACAGTGGCTACCAAGCAAATACGAAGCACTATTATGTAGATTTCCCCCCATTCCATTTTGGTAAGCAATCTTATTTTGGAGACATTTCATTAAACTTCTTTTGATGTTAGAAAAGTGTAGATATGCTGGAGATGAGGGAAGGACACCAAAAATTAATATAGACGTGGGGTTATCCCCCCACCCCCAGATTATAGAGGTTTAATGTTTTATATGCTTTGGAAGTTAGGCTGAGTATGGGAAGTGCCCATTAGCACCTAAACTAAGGGACACAACCACCTGGAGCCCTTTGCTCCTTTAGCCTGATTTATGCAGGAGCCGCTGTTTGTGCAGCCTCTTTTAGCTTTGTTGCTAAGCTTATCCACTGCCAGAAATCACAATTTTTCTCTGTGTTTCCATTATTCCACACAGCAGGTCCCATATAATAAGCAAAGAGAAGCACATGAAAGGGAACTTGTGCCTTTAAGGGCTCCCGCTTGGCAATTCTCATCAGGAGTCCAAACTGGGGCAAACATTATGGATTTGGATTGGGAAACATTTATCCTGGACAGTGTGGGGGAAGAGAGAGACTTGTTATGCATGTGCAAAGCCATGAAATAATCAGATCAGTTTGGAGGTAATAATTTGATCTAGTGGTTTCCTTAAATCTGATCTTCAGATCACATTTTTTTGCACTGTCAAATAACACAGAAGGGCTTTATTCAGGGTTATTGGTAGAAACTAATGGTTTTCAAGCAAAGTTGAACACAGTGAATACTTAATGAATATTAACAATACAGATAGTCCTCAACAACCATTTGTTTAGCGACTGTTCAAAGAAAAACGTGAGTTACAATAGGTACTCATGCTTAACAACTGCCTTGCTTGGCAAGGGAAATTGTGGTCCCAATTGTCATAGGTTGAGGACTACCTATAATGGTTTTGATTTGCTAATAATAATTTATTAAACTCCCAGCAACTCTGGGCAATAAGGTACTATACACAAGGTACTATACACAAGGCAAGCTACCATTTTTGGACACCTATGCCTAAAACATGCTCCTTAATTAATTTTATATGCTGCCATAATATGCTGAATTACAATGTGGAAACTTAACTGTCTGTTGAAGAGAAACCTAATGAAAGAAACCAGCTGTAGCCTTTTATGGGCAGGAAGCTAGACAAAACATTTTTCTAACCAGAGTTGCTTCCCTCAGATGTTACAAAAAGATGGTTTTATTTATCATCAGCATCTCTCCCCTTCTTTTTGACTATGCTTTGTATTTAACCCTAGACATGTTACTTGACAACACATTCCCTTTCCTGAGTAAGTTTGATTATGATAAGGCATTTCATAAACTATTGCTTTCAGCTGATAAAGAAATAGCAAAAAAACCAAAAAACCCCAACCCCCAAATGTTGATTACATTATCTTCTGTCTTTGCAATGGAATGCCAACATTGATTTTATATCTGCTTTCACTAATATGGTACTACTCTTTAAAAAAAGAGATAATTTATTCACCTGGCAATCTGCAATAGCTGTTGCAAATAAAGAGCTATAAATCACAATAAAGCCAAAACAAAAATCCAATTAGGCTGGGAAAGACATTTTTCTGAAACTTCAGAGGGTCTAATCAGATAATAATTATGAGCTGGATTGTGTGGTATTCCAATTTTGGTAATGCAGCTTCCTGTGTTCTTAAGCAGTGGGAACATCTTAACTATGTTTGTTGGTTTTGGCACATGAAAAAAATATAGTTTCATAAAAGTTTGCTTGTGACCCCAAAGGCAAACAAATTTTTGCAGGAGAGATGAGCTCCAAAAAAAAAAAAAAAAAAAAAAAAATTCCAGCCATTTAATTTAGTACCAATTATGGGGCAGAATTTCTGTGCTATTTAGTTTTATTTAAATGCAGTGCTATTAAATTAGTTCATGAGACCAGGCTGATCGGTAAAGCCTTTCTCTAGGCTGAAGATTGGTGTTTTGTGTGGTTTACTTCCAAGTAAGTATGCAGAAAATTGCAGTTCATTGGCCTTTGCAAAATATTTCCTTAAGGGCATGTATAGGATAGTGAGCAGCTGCAAAATCCTCAGATCTGTGTGCTCTTCTGCTTCACAAAAAGATATAATTGAAATGTTATCTTAAGTGGACACCGCTAGTAGGCATGAATGACAATGTTGTGATGGAATTAAAGGAACAAGGCCTTCAATAACATTGCTACTGCCTCTCTTCTTAATTACATTTCCCCCCCTGTAGTTAATGAACTAATAATGTTCTGCTTTTTCTTTAGGCAACCCTAAAGATGCTCTTGGACCATCTGAAACTGGTGGCTTCATACCATGAAGTAAACAGAATGACTTGCCAGAATTTAGCGGTGTGTTTTGGGCCTGTATTACTTAGTCAGTGGCAGGAAACTACGAGCCACAACAATAGAGTGTTCACTGATTCAGAAGAACTGGCCAGTGCCTTGGATTTCAAAAAACATATAGAAGTTTTACATTATCTGCTCCAGTTGTGGACAGGTAAAAAAAAAAATCTCATTAATGGAGAATATTTAATTTCGTTCAAAGCAATGTGTTATTCTGTTGCAGTAAAAGCAGTGGAATCCCTTGCATTGTTCAAACTTTTTTTGTAGCATAAACTTACAAAGACAAATGTATTATGCCATATTACTAATACTTGTTATTATGGCTCATCAGTTATATAACTTTATGCTATTGTAACCATTTTTTCACTTCATTAGTTATATAAAGTAATACTTTGCTAATGTATCCTTTTACTCTTGCATTCCTTCCAGGCTTGTGTATTTTGTCCTTAAATTTCTTTAAAATAAAAATGAATGAGAATTTTTTATTTTTGCACCCATAGTAAGAAGATAAGAACTGTGTGTTTATTACCAGCGCCCTTGCCAGAATTTAGCTGTGTCTTTTGGGGCTGTATTACTTACTCCAGGGGTGTCGAACTGCTGGCCTGCAGGTCGGATGCATCAAAGCAAAACTGTGCCCACCCCATTACTGGCAATGGAAAAAAAAGTCATGATAGGTTGCAACACGTCATGTGATGTTGCAAGTTTGACACCCCTGACTTAGTCAATGGCAGGAAACTACAAAGTAAGAAGATAATCGTCCCCATTGACTTGATTCATGGATTATACTCATGGTCACTGCCTCTATGTCCAAAGAGCATCTCTTCTTCATGAGCGTTCTCTCTCTCTCTCTCTCTCTCTCTCTCTCTCTCTCTCTCTCTCTCTCTCTCTCTCTCTCTCTCTCTTTTGTCTTTTCTATTGGGGACTTCTGCCATTTCCTTCTTTTTCTATACTTATTATTTGATAACCTTGGTTCTACCTATAGCTTCTCTCAGGCAGATATTCAGGGGCTTAGCTTTTGGCCTTGGTTTAACTTCAGCAGCTAATTTTTTAAAAAACATATGAATAGGTTACACTAAACAATCAAGTATTTTTGGAGCAGCTGATCTCTGCTTTAGCAATAGCATCTTCTGGTGGTCACATGTATAACACCACTTTTTGGAAAAGCAAAGTTATTTTCAGTTTTACTTTGAAGACTCATTGCTACCACGATGGTCAGGTTGTCAGTTGAACGAAAGCCAAGATTTTTTTTCCTCCCGAATGTGGACAATTGATGTTATCTGCTCAGGCAAAACACATCGAAATAAGCAATATAGTTGCTTGACTGGTTATTCAAAATTGAGTTATTAACAGTCAGATTCTTGAAGGAGAATTTTCTTTGTAAAGATATCTCCTGGATGACCGGGTATATACATTGTCAAAGAAGTGAACTAACATAAACTTAAGAATTTCAGCCTCTTCTGTAACTACCAGATACCATGCCAAGTTCTTTGGCTTTTCAAAAATGTAATTAAACATTGTGGAGTGAGCTCTGTTCCTGTAAAGGAGTGAAGCCAAACATTAATCCACTGATGTATATGGAAAACTTGATAACTATGCTTGTGACCCATTTCAGCTTTTCATTTATCTCTTTGTTTATTGAAAAATCATGGCCCTTGTTTATTCAGAAAACTTAATAATACTGCCACTTAAGGTTTAACACATGAGCCCTTTGTTTCAAAGAAAAAAATCCTAATTAGAAGAGCTTTTGTTGATGTACATGTTTTCTCATCTTTTTAAAACAAAAAACCAGAGTTGTTAGACAGGTAAGATATACTACTTCCAGGGAGATATTTGAACCGGATTGAATGTTTACTCATGTGATTAAGTAAGTGGCAGGTTGCATTTGTTAGCTTCTTGTTATGTGCTGGAGTTAGCTTTTTATATCACAACAAGCTCCCTTTCCTTCTAAAGCAGAAGTCACCAATATTTCACAGTTGGCGGACCAGAGGGAAAGAGAGGGGGAAGCATTTTACACATGTGCGTGAGAGTACACACGCATGGGGCCGCAAGCACGTGCGCAACACAAACAGGGCGGGGCTAGTGCCCACATGATACTCACTAGCCCTGTCCCGTTCTTGTGTGGTGCAGCACATTTCCATGTCCTGCGGCACTGTGGCAGCCCGTTTTCGTGCCTTGAGGCGTGGCAGCAGTCCATTTTTGCACCCCGCAGCTGCCGCACTAACACGAGTAGGGGGTGTTGTGCGCACACTGGCCAGCCTGAGCCATGGCCAGTAGACCATGACCCATAGGTTGGGGAACCCTGTTCTAAAGGGAAAATCATAATTAAATATAACAAATACATAAATAATATAACTCCTGGCAGATACTATTGGAAATTGCAGAGCCACTGCAGTTCAGGATGAGCTTTGAAGAAAGGTATCACATAAAGCCTTACAGGACAGAAATGCCAACCCAGCAGGAAAGATATGCTTGGTGTTTACCTAATGTTTTCCATCTGTAACTATATAGGTAGTCCTCAACTTATGACAATAAGGGGCCAGATAATTTGTTGCGCCACATTTTATGACCTTTTCTGCCATGATCGTTAAGCAAGACATCATATGATCCTAAATTGCGACCTTCATTGCTGGTTTGCCCCATTGACTTTGTCAGAAGCCACCAGGGAAGGTTACAGATGGTGATCACATGACCACAGGATGCTGCCACCATTGTGTATGCACCACAGTTGCCAAGCACTAGAGATAACATCACATCACTGCAGGAATGCTGCAATGGCAGAAGCTGGTCGTAAGTCCATTTTTTCAGCACTGTTGTAAACAAACAAACATTAAATGAAAGTTCATAAGTTGAGGACTACTTGTTTAAGTCTTGAAAGTGCACTCTTCTTTTCCTAACTGTCCACCCACTACAATGGCACTTAATCCTCACTCATGTTTTTTTCTCCTTGTGGCTTTCCTGGTCATACAAGATCTTTTCACGCTACCTTCTTTCTACATTCTTTACAACAAGCTTCCACTGCACATTCATCAGTTTTTGCATCTTCTGACAAGACTAGCTAGGGAGATACAAATCCATCCATCCAGTACTGTTGAAACAATTCAAAGCTCACCCAGGTTCTTTTGGACCTAATTCCCGTTAGTCTGTGCTGCCGTTTTCTCGCCATTCCTTATTAAGTCTTACTGAGAAAGTTCAGCCTTCTTGGTAGGAATAATGTCTCTTCTGTGTTCCATTAGCAACCAGAATATTGTTATAAGCAAAAATAACAATAGAATCCATAATAATAATAGTAGAACTAAAAATCATAATAGTAGAACAAATATGAATAATAATAAAAACAATACTACAGAGAGATGCTTGGAAGAGAAACTTTTACAGTTGAATTATGTAGCAGTTGTTGGTGAATAAAACATTTGTACTGTTTACCATAGGAAGGCGATAACAAGAGGAGACTTAGTTTCTAGAGCGGTAAAACCGTGAGTTCAGGTAACAAAAGTGCCAAATGTGTGTTTGTTCTGCCTGCTTTTTCTTACATAGTTGATTGTAGATCGCATTTGGAAGCTCTTCTTTGAACTGTACTGTGATTTTGGACTGCGATTAACTTGCAAAATTTACTTGCAGAGTTAATCAGGTTAAACTTCCAGTTTTAATAGATTCCTCCAGCGGCAGTAGGCATGGTAGTCTTAAGATGAAATATTTACTAGTTGGCTTTTTCTTTTCAATATAACTTGATTGGCTGGTACCAAAATCAGTACAATAGAATTATTGGCTGTTCAGTGTGCATGCATAAATGCATGTTCCAAGTCATAGACCAGTGGGAAAAAAACGAATGTAATATTACTGCTTTCTTTTAAGACATACTGTTAAGCTAACATGAGTTCCAATTATGCTTTATCATAGTGCAACATCCATCAGCTGAAGAGTCAGCCTTGCTGGAGCAGCAGTCCTCTGTGAACTATCTCAGGCCTAAGAAACAGCGGCCTCAAATGTTAAATTTGAGCGAAGTGTCTGGGATCTTGCGATCCAGGCCAGCCAGACTGGACAGCCCTTCAAGCAACCGCTATGCTGGAGACTGGACAGCTTGTGGAGAGAACTACTTTGTCAGTCCCAAAGAAGCTCTGAGCGAAGCAGACTATGATGATGTTCCTTCAGAAGAGGCAGAAAGTGGGGACGATGGCAGCAAAGCAGATGCTTCTAGAACACTGCTCCGGCGGCCCATTTGTGTATCCAGAGAACATACCTTTCAGGCCTATCTGACAATGCAAACAATGGATTCTGCAGTGAACCATCAAGTTAACCTAAAAAACTTGCAAGAAAGCATTGATACTCTGATAGGCAACCTGGAACGGGAACTCAATAAAAACAAGCTCAACGTGAGTTGTTGATCACTTTGCTTTGCCATGTCTCCAATTTTGTATGTCCCTTCTGTTGTAATCCACCAGGAGAAAATAAGGAAGAGTTTTGGATGGGGATCTGTATTATAATTGCATTGGGCAATTTTGAAGATCGCTGTGTAAGTTAGGCATTCATATTACAGTCTTGCTTTCTCCATTTGAAAGTGTGTTACTTTTTATAAAACAATGCAACAATATTCCTTGTCAAGGTACTATGCACTTAGGAAATTTGAACAGTTTATCGAAGATGTATAATGCATCAGCTCTATCTTTGTTACAGTACAGTTTGCTCCTGAAACCTTAGCCCTAGTATGGATGTTCTCCCAGAAGAGAAAAGATTAATGTTGCTACTTAAGTGATAATATGCGGCACAAACTGTGTGTAGGTCACGTTCTATTATATTGACACCTTCTCACTTGCAATGCAAAGGCTGCTATAGAAAAAAGGCTTTTTGATAGTTAATTTGTATGAATATTGATGTATCCTTGTAGTAACACTTTCAAGCAACTATTTAAAACTGCAAAAATATTTTTCTAACTTTTGTTTTGTAGATATTTATATGTGGAAAAACAGGCATGACTTGGGCCGGTCTAGTTGCGATATGTTTTGTTGCGCAGGATAAGAGTTTCTTCTCTCTTCTCCAACTTGATGCTCTGAAGATATGTTAAATCAGTGGTCCCCAACTTTTCCAGCTTAGCAGCTCAGCATGGGGGGGGGTAGGTGGGTGAGTGGCAGATGCATGCGTACATACACAGCTCCATTGGTGTCAACAGCAGTTTTGCAGCCCTCCACTTATGCGAATGGAGCTTCCTGTGCAAGCGCAAGGGCCCACTGCTCATGCTTGCCCATTGCTTGTGTGGCCCGGTTTCAAACAGCCCGGTAGTGGCCACGGCCTGGGGGTTGTGGACACCTGTGGTAAACTACAATTCTTTCATTTTCCAGCATAGTGATGATGGTGTGTGCGGTGTGTGTGTGTGTGTGTGTGTGTGTGTGAGAGAGAGAGAGAGAGAGAGAGAGAGAGAGAGAGAGAGAGAGAGAAATTAAGAGACCAACAGGTGAGGGTAGATTAGCATAGGAAATATCATATCTTCCTAGAGAGCAGCCCCTGGTACTGTATTAGATGATTGTGCACTACTTTTATACTTTGCCCAGCCTTCCCCCCATGCCAGTCAAGTAAAATTGCTGATGGGGGAAGGTTAGTATTTTTTTTATGCCCTATTGGAGATGTTATACATGACAGCACTGTATAAAAGAGTATGTATAGCTCAGGGTTGAATTGTGGAGTCCTTGGTACTCTCTGAGTTTGGCTGTTTGTTTGCAAATGTTTATCCAGCTAAGTAACATCAGCATTTTAATGGGTAATGAAATGTCTGCAAGCAAACAAACTCAGAGAGCACCATGGACTCCACATGACAGCACTGTGCCCATCTGGCCCAATCTAAATCTGACTAAAGAGAGCTTGAAAAGAGACTTGCCCATTGTGGTGTCAAACAATCACACATAAGTAGTTGTGTGATACCCTGGACAAGAAAGTGTTGAACACTGAGATATATGAAGGCTGCAACTAAAAGCATACAAATTACTTTAAATGATCTATGAAAACAAATTGTCCAGACACGATGGCCTGTTTGTCACACTTTTCTGAAATTCTCATTGTGAAACTTAAAATGTATGTTTCTAGAGATGCTTGGGAGACTGATTGCTTGGGAGAGACCATAGCAGCTATTCTACCAAATCAAAATAAATTTGCATTGTGGTCCAACAGAGTTATTGTGCCAAATTGTCCATAAATATGCACATTTTTTTAAAAAATGTAGTGACCTTAAATGCAGATCTTTAGCCCGATCGGCCTAACGTTAGCACTGTGTTAATGCAATCAAGGCAGCTGACTTTGTTAAAGCCTCTCCAGATATAGCGAACCATGCTTGGGCATTATCATATCAGTCCAATTGGCTTGGAAATGTCTAACTCTACATCATTACAGGTAGTCCTTGACTTATGAGTACAATTGGGAATGGAAATTTTGGTTGCTAAGCGATGTGGTTGTTCTATAAGTCATCACATGACCAGACCCCATTTTACAACCATTTCACCATGGTCATTAAGCAAATCACTGTGGTCATTAAGTGAATCATGTGGTTGTTAAGTCAGTCACATAGTTGTAAAGTCAAGCCAGTTGCCAAGTGCCTAAATGTTGATCACGTAATGGGGTGGGGGGGCCTAGTGTGATGGTTGTAACTTTGAGGATGGATCATAAGTCATTCTTTCTAAGGCCTTTGTAATTTTGAACCATCATTAAATTAATGGTCATAAGTTGAGGAGTACCTTATTGTGTACCTTGTCCAATTTTTTTCCTGAACAGAGAATTTTGCCTTCTGCTGTGCTAATGGAAGCTCCTTAATTTTGACAGCTGTGCTGCTTCCTTATTTGGTGATAAAGAACCACTTATTATATACTTTAAGCCTGTCCCCCTAATACATTTCTACATGTTCATCCACTGTAGGGCGACCCCCAAAGAGTTCACCTCTTTTTCAAAGGTTGATATGAACGAAGAAAGTGCCTTTTAAAGTAATGTGTTTCAAATGGCCTGAATCATTTTGAAGGTCTTCATTCCAATTGGTCTAGCTTCTTTAATCCTTAAGTGCTAAGACGATCAATGTATTCTTTATCTTTCCACTTTTCTTAACTGAATATTGGTAGTTCTTTTGGTTTGCTGTAAGCATGGTGAGTTTAATAAATGCTGATTGGATTGGTCTGCAGATTTTTGATATTCACGTAAACCAAAGTAAATACAAGCCTGATGCAAATTTAAGTTCTGTCTGCAGTCAAACAATAAGACCGATTGGCAGCAATAAATTACAACCAGGTGCCTATTTAAAAAAGAGATAGCAATGGAGTAGAGCAGGGGTCTTCAAACTTGGCCCTTTTATGACTTGTGGACTTTAACTCCCAGAATTCCTCAGCCAGCATGCCTGGCTGAGGAATTCTGGGAGTTGAAGTCCACAAGTCATAAAAGGGCCAAGTTTGAAGACCCCTGGAGTATAGTATGTCTTAAATGGCATTCCTTTAAAAATATTACTTAGCAAGCAAGGGAAGCCATTATCTTTTAAAGAGTGTTTTGAACACTATTTGCTTTGCATCAACCTTCACCAACTGATATCTTCAGTTGTTTGGGGATCACAACTTCCTCAATTCCAGCTAGGAATTCTGGGAATTATAGTCTTAAGATAAGATAGTTGGAGGACAAGGAAAGGATACCCTATATTATAGGTCTGGTGTTTTTTTTTTTATTTACATTATCGGTTCTCTTTTTTTTTTCTTATGGACCTGGTACAAGTGCTATTTAATTTGTTCCTTGATATTGTCTATTATAATTATTTTAGCTATTTATTGACAATAGGATGACTGAATTTGGTGCATGATTTTTGCCACATTTTCCTTAAAGAAATATTTCAGCATTTTATACAGTCTGGTTAATTTATTATGATGATGATGATTAGAGTGGCGGTACACAACTTACAGTCATTTCAATATAGTGGTACAGTTTAAAAATATATATTTTAACCTGAAGCATTTATTGATAAGCTGATGTATTTTTTTAAAGCGTATGTACAGGAAGTGAATTATTTTTGAACTATGTTAATTCTGAATAAAACCCAACATTGAAAATAACTTGATTTTGTATTTTTGTAAACTGTTATTATGGTAAGAATACATTTTAAAGATAAGACCGTTAACGTGTGTGAAAAGAATTTTTATTTCCAGGGTTGTTAGTCTGCTTCGCTATGAAATGGGAAGAACACAGGCTTAATCTAACGTATCAGTTTGGATAATGATTTGGAGAGGCAAACTTTTCACAATTGATAAGAGCAGATGGCCCTTTTATCAGGTCAAAGTCCATCTTCTCCAGAATCCTGTTTCTATGGAGGCCAAGCAGACGCCAGTGGGACGATCATAACCACAACTTAAGTCCCCATTTTCCCTCAATGATTTCTCCACAAATACTATGAAAGGAATGAAAAGTGGAACCAGGTTTTTCTTCAGGTCTCCTTAACTTGAGGGCACCCATGCTCTTTTGGGATAACAGTACAGAAGCCGTTTGTCATTGTATTATTTGGTGTTTTAATTGTATAGTGTAATCTGTCAGGTCCCGATGATTTATATTCGTCAAGGTCAAATAGGTGTTCTCTTACCATTTTCTTACTTATTTTTTGTTTCTAGTATGTCTTTTGCAGTGGTTCTTTTTGGTATGTTGGGCTATAGTTTTTGTGTGAAGACTGATGCAAAGTATGAGTTAAGCAGCTCTGCTTTTTTCCTGTTGCCTGTTATTTCCTTGCCACTTTCTCTCTTTAGTGGACCTACAATTTCCTTGACTTTTTTCTTATTGTTAATAGGTTGGAAGAAACTTTTTTTTATTATTATCCATGATTTCTGTTGCAAGTCTTTGTTCGTTCTGAGCCTTTGCTTTCCTGACTTCATCTTTGCATGTTCTGGCTGTCTGCTGATAATCGGCCTTAGTTATGTGCCCCTCTTTTCACTTTTTGTATTTGTCCTTTTTGTCTTTCAGTTTGTCAGAGAGATCTTTATGCAGTCATGCTGGTTTCTTCTTGAATTTCTTGTTTTTCTTTTTCAGTGGTATTGTGCTGGTTACAGTCCTTGGTGCCAAATAAGTGCACCTGATGGCCTGAACCAAATAGGCAAATCTACTGTAAATTATTCCAATGTTGCTGAACATTCTTTAAATAGGATGCTCTTGAATCACTCCTAATATACTTACATTTTGACCTCTCTAATGTTAGAAACCAGAGTGCAAGCGCTATGCACAAATCAAACAAGTTTCATCTTTGTATTCAGCAATCCATAACTTTTTAGAGATGCCCTGGATAAGACAATCACCAGCAAGCATATTAATGCAGCATCCCAATTTCCCTGCTGTATAGTGATTAGGACATGACTTTAGGTATTTAACATACCCAACAAAACAAATGTATTGCCTTTAAAAATTTCTGTCCCCATGTGCAAATGTGCAGTAAATTCTTTAGTGTAACGTTCGTTCATGTGATCTGTAGCAGCTGCATTACAAAAAGAAGTGCAGCACACTGATGCTTTCAAAACAAAAGTGGCTCCATTCTTTATCCTGCAGTAGCCCCACTGAAATATTATGCAGGACTTTACCTCCTGCTACACTTTCAAACATGGAAATTATAACATGAGCATGGCTGTGTGTGAACTCAGAATGTTGACCTTGGTGAAAGGTGAGACTCACTTGTAAAATGATGATGATGATGATAAAATAATAATAATGATGATGATGATGTTGGAAGAGACCTTGGAAGTCATCTAGTCCTAATACAAAATGCACCCTTGAGTTACCTTTTTTTTTGTTTTCTTTTAACATGACAGCTTCCACAATGCCATATTTTACAAAGAAACAGGAGTTTATTAAATCTGCATTATGACACTAGAGCGAATTAACAATAAATGTTGCTTAAGTATACATTTATTATACATAATATAGGGATAGGGAAGAACATGTTTGACTGCTATCTTTGGCCATTCTCACTGACGAAGGCACAAGTAGCGGTGAAATAAAAATAGCTGGGTGTCTGTTTTGTGGGAGGACTTGCAGCAGTATAAATTATATATGTTGGAGTCACAGCTATTCTGAAGTTGTTCATTATTGTTAAGTAGTGATGATTCTCGAGGGGGTATATTTATCTGGTCCCTTGAGTAATCCAAGCCGAACCAATATGGTTTTCTCCAAATCCAAAAATTCTACATAATTTTGACTGGTCTGTTCTTCCATTAATTCTCTTGATCGTTGGCCACCAACCACTTTCTGCAAAGAGAAGAAAAGAATGGGGGAGGAGGAAGAGGGGGGAGGGAAGGAATAATAAGCTACCCCACAAAACGCATTTTTCCCAAGTCTCACCAGATTCCATCTTTACATTCCTGAGACGATATCTACTTTCAAAATAGCCAGCAAGATCGTATGCTAAATGTTATTTTTAAAATAACATAGTACTCAAGAGAAGTCCTATGGGACTGAGTGGCTGTAATAAATTTAAGTTAATAGTTATATTTTTTTAGAACAGTCTTCCCAACTTGATATCCGCAGAATGTTGGGCATACAATTTCCAGAATTCCTAGTCAGCATGGTTATGGGATAGCTGGGAATTCTGAGATCATAGTTCCACTTTGGCTGGAGGGCATTGTGCAAGTAGCCCTTGACTTACAACCATTTGTTTAGCAACTGTTTGAAGTTGCAACTGGTCCTCACATTTATAACCATTGCAGCATCCCAACGGTCATGTGATCAAAATTCAAGCACTTGGCAACTGGCATGTATTTATGACAGTTGCAACATCCCAGGATCATGGGATCGCCATTTGCGATCTTCCCAGCTGACTTCTGACGAGCAAAGCCAATGGGGGAAACTGGATTTATTTAACGACTGTGTTGTTTCACTTAACAACCGCAGTGATTCTCTTTACAGCCAGCAAAAAAAGGATGTCAAACCCGGCACAATTCACTTAACGATCACCTTGCTAAGCAATGAAAATTCTGTTCCCAATTGTGGTTGTAAGTCAAGGACTCCTTGCACTGGGGAAGATCACTCCACTGAATTTCCTCTCTTCAAAAGTTGCACAATTGTCTGAAAGGATATTAAGGTTGAGACTACGGAAATGGAAAATCAGTTGCTAACTCAGGCAGGCAACAGAACTTCATAACCATTTCATGTCTATTATATTTAATATACCAGCAGTCACATGCTGATATAACAACGCGGCAAAACTCCAAACAACAGGGTCGACAGTCAGTTTTTCAAAAGCATATCCCATATATTATGTCTGAGTCTATATATCATAGACTCAGATATAATATAAAGGTAAAAAGCATATGTAGCAAACAAAAACCAACTGATGTCCCTTATTCCTCACGCCAATCCAGGTAGGAAAATAGATAGATAGATAGATAGATAGATAGATAGATAGATAGATAGATAGATAGATAGATAGATAGATGAAAGATGGATGGATAGATGGATGAATGATAGATGGAGAGATGATAGAATAAAGTTAAAGGGTGATCTAGAAAGATAGAGGAATAGTTAAAATACTTCTTATAGCAGCTTCTCCCAGCCTGGTTTGTTTTAAAAGTGGTGGATTTCAGTCCACATAATCTCACTGTCAGCATAGACTTGAAATTCAAACTGAGAGCACAATTTCACAAAGGCTGACTTAAAAAAACTAAACAGCCTTCAAATCACCATGAATGAAGGAGTGGAAGGAATGAAAAATAGTGCAGAGAACATTCAGTATAGTATTTCTTTTTAAGACAATTACGTGGTCAAGACTAGAATGAATTGATAATCCATTTTTTCAATACTTAATCACCAATTAAAATAAATATAAAGTTACTAGAGTCTAATTTGGATGAGGATAGTACTACAACTATTGTTCTACCAGCCAGGAGTACAATGTGATAGAGACAATTATAGGGGCAAAATAAGAAAAGAAAGCAGACTAGAGAGACAGCCCCATTTGGGGGTTTTCTGCTTCCAGAAATGCAAAGCAAAGTATGGATTAACTGCAATGAGCCCAAACCATCATTTGATTTTGGATCTACTAAGATATAGTGTTGTGGTTATTTAAATTTTTTTTATAAAAAACTTCTTTTTGCTGAATGGAAGTTAAAATAAGTAAAAACTTGCATTTTATATTTCCCCCACCCCATTTCCTCATAATTGCTTTCCACAGATTGTAAGTCTAAGAGTAAGGAATGTTTAAGTTTGTATTGGTTTGCAAGTTACTTTGAGAAAGTTTTTGGCTGAAGAGAAGAATATATAATAATAATAATAATAATAATAATAATAATAATAATAATAATAATAATAATAATAATAATATTGCAAAAATAATAATTAAGGAGTAGGCCAATGAAAATATTCTGTTACAGAAAACGTGGGTCCTGAGGATATTCAATTGGACATAATCCTCTATACCATAAACCCATTAATTTTAACTGTACTTTTTCATAGTTCATTTGCCCAAGAAGTTTGTAAATTAAATAACATTCATAACAGCCACATCTTAACTTTTGAGCCTCTAAAGATCTTACCGTTCTCTTCATTAGCTTTTCATACTCAAGTGCCACCCTTTCTTGATCTCTGAATTCCTGCCGCTGCTCAAAATACTCCAGATGTTTGACTTCTCGCTCAAAGTAATGAAGAACACTAGAATGCTGACATTTCCAATGTATGTTTAATTATGATGAGCATAGTTTGTCCATTCATAAAACATGCTTATCTTTATACAACTACAAGAACTGAAGAAACCTGAATACTATCTGGCCTGCATTTCACAGTGGAAGAGTAGAATATAAATGTAAGAAATAAAAATGAATATTTTTGTTAGACTTTCAGAATAGGCAAACCAGTGCCATCCAGATGTTTTCAACAAAAATCTTGCTAGTAAACTTGTTAATGGATGCTGAAATCCAGAATATCTGGAGAACACCATTTGCCAAACCCAAGTGTAATTGTTCACCAGGATAGAAACCAGGAGATGGTGAATTCTAATCCTGCCTTAGGCATGGAAGGTGATTGGGTGACTTTGGGCCAATCACTCTCTCTCAGCCCATGTTGTTTTGGAGAAAATAGAAGGAGG